ATCATCTTTCAATTCAATCTCTCAAAATCCACCAAATAATCCATTACCCATAACAATCAACCCATAAAATTCAATTAATTCATCAATCAAACCCAAAACACAAATTTTCAAAACCCTAACATTTATCAAAACCAAAATTAAAACTTAATCAACACATATTTATATATAATCTTACCTTTAAACTTATTTCCTTCAACTCTTTTCTATTTTTCTTCTAATTTCTTTCTTTTCTCTTCTTCTTCTTTCTCCCTTCTCTCTCCTGTTGATTCTCTCTTAAATTTCAGATCACTTATTTTTTATTTTTTTTTATTTTCTATTTATATTTATCAAGTTTTATTGAATTACTACACTACCCCTATCAATGACACCATATAGAAAAGCAGCGAAGACTTGGGCGTATTATGGTGCCATTCCAGCTCCCCAAGTTACGTTGCTTTTCTGGGACTGTATCTATTGATATATATATATTTTTTTTTTTTACGTGGAGTGTCCGGGCCAGCTTACGCGCACCACGACTAATCCCCACGGCCCACTGAACATCCTGCAAGCCCAGTGAGCAAGTAAGGTACCGCGGGGGTGACAGGCGTGCATGGTGAGGTTCGAACCCAAGTGCGGAGGAAGAGGACAAGCCCCTTCCACCGCTAGGCCAGAACCTCACTTGCTCTATTGATATATTTAGATTAGACTAATTGGTGCTTAATTGCAACCTTAAATGTGGTTTTAAAACCCGACCACTGCAAGGCACTGGCAGGTTGAGAACATCAACCGGGTTGATTAATTTTTTTTTTTTAAAGGATTAAAACACAATTGTTTTGATCAATTTTTTTTCTTTTCAAAATATAGAAAAAGATCAACGATTTGGCTGTTTGATTTTTATCTTGTAACACGATCAATCTCGGTTTTTAACTGAATCACTTGGGTTTTTACTTTTTTTTATTTTTTTCTTCAATCAGAACTAATTCAGACCATAAGTTGATTGGTCAAGTCTAGGGTCGATTTGTTGAACCGTTTAGATTTTAAAACAATGTCTTGTGATATTTTTATAATACCAACTAAATCCCCACTTGACCCATAAAAAATTTACGGTCTGGTTTTTCAAGAATTAACAATGTTGATTAAAAAAACAATGAGAGAGAGTTTTTAAATGAGATTACAAAAAATTAAAAATAGTAAAATCATTTTTATATATTATAAAAAAATGAATAATATGACATTAATGTTTCCTTATGATTAATGTCAAAAACAATCTTGGTTTGGTATTGAACCGCTTAAATCAATGTAAAGAACAGACATTCATCATATTATTCTTCAAGGTTGATATTATTCTCACTTGTAAGTGATAGAACAGACATTCACATGAGAATAGAATCCCAGAAGATTCAAGTCAATGATGTGAACGGATCATGTACAGCAAGAAGATGGCGATTCAACTCCTTCAGAAACCATCATTCATGTTGATGCTCAATGTGCCCTCCTCCCGAAGAAATGAGGATCGTGCATCAAGAGTGTTTGTACACTCGTCAAATTAAGGATTGGGTTGTATCCCTCCTCCATCTCCCAAATTTCTCTCTTCCCTGTAGTAATGCTCAAGCAAAAACAAATTTCTCAAGTCTCTTCAAGATCTTTGCAATAATCTAAGAATTCATTTCAACAAAGAAAAATTGTGCTATAAATAAACACCTGTAAGGAGAAAAGAAGAAGAACATTATAAGCCATGCACATTGCACAAGCACATAATCACACATGGATCCTCCATCAGTCCATCCCATCTTGCATACCCATAATCATGAAGGGACTACCACCAAACTCCTAAACATATAATTTTGATAAAAACAATCGGTAGTTCACAATAAAGCATGGAACAATGGTGAGTGGTGGTTACTCTACTAGACTGAATCCAGAAGACCCTTCACAAATGATATCCAGAATGAATGGCAATGGTGCAGTAATGGACAACTTTAAAATCAGTTTACAATACAATATTCTGAGAATTAAGCTGAATTGCATGAAAAGCACGACCCTTTTGCAAGCAGAAAACCACGAAACGATAAAACATTGCTAGTGTACCTTGCGAGCTTCGATAGCAAGTTCGTTATCAACAATGGTTACTGCCTTGAAGCCCATGGGATGCAACGCCTCTTCATAGCTAGGGGAAAAGACATGATAAATTCAATCTTCTAAGAAGAGAA